ATTTTGAAACATCTGTGAAGCCTGATTTGGGTTCAAGTTCAAGCTGAGGATATTTATAGAACTGGGAGCCAAATTACTACTTCTGTTGCTCTTTTCTCTGTCCGGGCCTGCAGTTACAATAAGCATCCCTGCCATGCAACGCCTTTGATTGTTTTAACCCCCATGCTGCTGTCTTGGGTGGGGAAGGAAAGGGGGTGGCAAAGAACAGGGGGAAGGGAAGGAGAGCAAGCAGGAAGCCATTTGAGAAGGGTGCATGGAGGCAAACCTGGCTGATGGGTGTAGAATTTGGTATGGCCACAAATTAAAAGTATAGCGTTACTTCTTCAGTGCAGGTGTCATGTTGAGTACAGTGCGGGAGTGAAGGGGTTAAACACCCCTTAGGTGGGGAGAGGCTTCTAGCCCCACCTAACATGGCAGCAGACAGACAGTTCCCAGAAAAAAAGTAGTTTAAATCCCCCTATGCTGTCGTCTTGTAATACAGCACACAACACATCCCGAGCAGCTCCCCCAGGACGCGTTTTCAGGCTGGCTGATAGCAGGGGTCCCCTGCACAGCAGTTTGTCTAGCTGTCCCTGCATGGGATCCCCAATTCTGATAGGTCACGCAATTCTTGGCCATCCAGAAAAACCTGCTCCTTGTCAGACCCTATGGTCTATGCGGGCTCCAGGATGCTTGCAATGCTTTCTGCGGTGCCTTCTGGAAAACTGTCCACCACACAATTCTTGAGCACAGCGGTGGCATCGCTTGCAAAAACATGGTCCAGGTCCTCATAGTCTGGGCAGGGAGTGGAGCATTACCAGAGTGGCAGTGCTTGTCCCTTGTCTTCAGGTTCTTCTCTCGGAGTGCCTTTGCTTGGACTCGGCACTGGGCCCAGCTCTGGGCATGCCCTTTTCCTCATTTGCTCTGACACGGTCTTGTACATGCCTGCATTCTGGAGACAGAGGAGACTGGACACGCAGCTCTCCAAAGAGGGCAATCTCTGCAGGCATCCGTGTGGAGGCTTCAGGGCACAGCTGCTATAGTGGGGATGTGACTCTGGAAGGGTGAACTCACCATTACCTGGTCTCGAGAAGAGGCGCACCTGACTAAATGCCAGCATGTAAACGGAGAAGTGACAAGATGACCCTGGAGTAGTGGTGTCCATACAAGTACACAGACAGAGCAGTCCAGGGGAGAAGCAATGCAGCGTGAGATAGCAGTGGGATGACTGCCAGCAGCAGAGTCATGGAATCATCTGAACCTTAAAGCAAACTCACTGCAAAGTGGAGTTACTTCTGTCCCAAGGAGGATTACTTAAGCGGTGTCTACACTGTCACTTTCAGAGCTAAAACTTTAGTCGTTCAGGGGTGTGAAAAAACACCCCCAAGTGACAAAAGTTTTAGCGCTAAAAAGCGCCAGTATAGACACCCTCATTCGGGGTGGGTTGGTTTTTAAATCTCCGGGAGAGCTCTTCCCCAGCGATAAAGCATGTCTACACTACCCACATCACAGCGCTACCACGGCCACGCTGTAACATGGGCAGCATAGACATACCCTTACTGCAGCAGCCAAAGATGCCAAATAATTCACTTTAAAAAAGATTGTGTATGGACACGAGGCACCGTCAGGCGTATAAACTAAAGTTACCTCAATGTAACATCCCCATGTAGACAAGCTTTCATTTTGAATAGAAGTTATGAGGACTGGTGTTGAGAGAGACTAAAATTAGCAATGTCACAACATGTAAACGTACTTACTAGATATTTAGGCTGATCGAGTTAAGGAGCATTAAACCATTTGCTCTGTTTGTTAGACTATTAGGGTTAACACTTTCATTTTCTACTGGTAAAATTATAGCGTGCCTAAATATTGCAGGTGTTTGAAGGTCTTCCGGACGAATCTGATACTTCCTAGAGGAGTGCTCCTTTTACGTACTGATCTGGGTACAGAGACTATGGTGACTAGGTAGCCAGGCCTTTAAGTTCATTTATATGGGTGTACGCCAGATGCTTAGTACTGTGTGAATGCAGTAATGCATTTCTGTTGCCTTTGATTTACTATCAGTGAGTGTTAGGAGAAGCTTCTAAAGACCACTTAAGCAGTATCCATGTGACTAGCCATTAGATCTATCGAAAACGACAGCTTCCTGCCCCATCACTCTGAGCCTCTTGCAGCTCCTAGTACTGCTCGGATTATATTTCTTTTCACCCTTTCAATCTTTAGTCACACAGGGCGCAACCCTGAAGTGCTCACTCAGGCAAAACTCACCCTTCACTTCACTTTGACTCAGAAAGAACTGCAGGATCAAGCCCACAAAGTCCTATTAAAAACAGTAGTAATTTAATTAAAATAATAGGTGCTACAGAACACTGATAATCTGTGCTATGCTGTTTTAAACCCTATCTGGTGTGGGTCCTGGCTACCAGAGAGACTTCTGTGTGCCACTGCACTAGTTAAGGTCGCTGGGAGGTTTGCAAACTCTCCTAGATATGAATTTCTGAGCAATGGGGGCAGGACATTCTTAACAGAGGGTCCTAGACTCTGAAATGTGCTTCTCCCATTGTCTGACAGAGCCTCAGTCTGTTGATCTTTAGGGCATATTGTAAAGTGTCGTTATAGAATATACATGCACCTAGCGACGGTTGCAATAGGCAAATTCTTATAAATTAAAAAGTTGTAGAATAGAGCCCACTCGCACATACATCCCACCACACTCCCTGTGCCAGTCTGTCTCCTGATGGACTCTTCCATCCTCTCCGAGTTACTCCCATGCCACTTCACCGCACCAGAAGAAGGTTAATGTCTTGTGCTCTGAAAGCATCTTAGTGCTCGCACTTCCACTGAAATCCATTGAGATTTGCAAGGCAAACATTACTTTGCCTAGTGTGATAATTAACTTCACAATTCAGCTTCCATGGATACTTAATGAGTCATAATAATTATTATGATAGTTTATATTGTGGTAGCCCCTTCAGACCTCCAACCAGATGGAAGGTACTGTACAACTATGTAGTGAATGACAATCTTCTCTCCTACATGTGTCTCTTAACCCACTTCCTATTGCTAACTCTCCTGTTTCATCAGCATTAAAATTCCTATTTCAATTCACAGGAGTCAGAACCACAAAGCAACATATTTATAAATAGCATAAATATCTGTGCAAGACAGGTCCTTCCTGCTGATCTGGAATGTTCTCAACTATCACAGCCAGCACCTCATTGGCACTCCAACCTCTTGCACAGATGTGGCCATGAGTGTCCCTCTTTCAGCTCCTACCTCTCCTGTGGAACACGATCACACAATCCAAAATGCTCATTAAATCCATTAAAATAATATGGATCCTGGTCCTCCAGAATGTTCACATGAGCTAAAAAGAACATACCTAATAGGTAAGGTCTGTCTCTCCTCTGCGCCCAGTCTGAGTAAAAGGGCAGGGCACTGAGGGGGGAAACCTTCCCCTCAAAGGCCACAGAGTCTGTCTCACTGCGGTGGGGGGGGGGGGGGGGGGAGGGGAGCGGGCAATGACCAGCTGACTGATGCATCAGTACATCCACTTGCCTTTCCCTGCCCCATCTCCAAGTTGCAGGGCAAAGGCAGCTGGAGCTCCGGGAAAGCGCTCATGGAGCCTGTTATACACAACCAAGCAGGGCACCCTCTGCAGAACTTGGATCTCTAATCCACATGAGTGCATGCAGTCTATGAGGTCTTCCAAAATCTTCCCTCCCTACCCCACACCCCATTTGGCTGCACTGGGAGATTCCCAGCACCTGTAGAGAATGGGGTAGTATTTGCAAGCTCTCTGTAGTTGTCTTTCAAATGCAAATATCTTGGCCATTTCCTTTCATTTAAAAAAAATACCAAATGGGCTTAACTTACACTGCAGACTAACTGCAAAATGCATTCATTTGTTTCACGGAGCTTTTATTGTTCAGAAAGACAGAAACAGACAGAGAGGAAAGGAGAAGATATGCAGGCAGAGTGACTTAGCTGCAGTCTGTCAGGAAAGGATCTCATCACCCCAATCATCTCTTCTCACTTTCTAGGTGCAAATCCAAGCTGTGTCACACTTGCGTGCGGTGAAGAGCCAAGCAAGGCCTTGCAGGCCGGAAACAATATGTGCCAGAGGCTCCTATGAGCATCTCTCATGTTGAATCGGGACAAAGATTTTATTGAAGCAAGTCCTAAAACTGGCTTCTCCAGTTTGCCCATTGTTTATAAAAACAAAAATACAGCAGCTGGGCCAAAGACTTCAAACGTATCTATTTCAAATCACATTAACTTATATTCTAAAGTTAGGGAGTCCTGAAAAGTTAGGTTTATAATGGAAAGACAATTAACCATACCATACCAAACCATACTGGCACAAACAGGTGCTTCTATAATACTTTATGCATTGTTTCCAGTCACACCAGAGAGGGGGAAAACAAGGAAAATGACAGACTGCAAAAGGGATAAACAAAAGGGGAAAGTCTCCAAAACAAACAAAGCACAGATTTTTGACAGAGGAACAGCATAAAAAGCAGCTTTTTAAACAAACAGATCTAGTGTAACTAGTGGAATGGACCAGGAGAAATGCAATCTAAAGCCAGAGGAATACAATTAAGAAAAGGTTTTTTTTGAAAATTGGTCCTTTAGCTCAGGACTACAGCAGACTTTAACAATATGTTCCTGGGTAAATAATCGGGATAGAAAATGGCCATGAATGTCAGTGACTATTTTCCTACAGGTAAAACTGTTAGGAAAAATAAGGTCTTATAAGGGATCATCTTTGAATAATTTGACTCTTACAAGCTAATGCTTCTAATGTTGGATCGTTCAAGACTGGATTCCCCCCATGCCTGTTTGGAATGTACACAGTAAGTCAACTTTAAACCAGTTCTGCTCATTGTGGGCCGCGGGATGTACACGCTGAGCTCCAGTCTGCTGTCGGACAGTGGCAATAGCAATGCAATCCCCTCTCCTTACCCCCATAGCCTCCTGGGCCAGGCACTCCCAGAGATGAGCAAGAGGATGCTACTTACCAAAATATTCCTTCTTCATGTGCATCTCCAACTCCTTCTCCAGCTCCAGCGTCAACGCTTCCAACCTCCTCTCTGCCTGGCTGGGTCCACTCTCCCTGGTCGGGGTGACCTGATACGGAAGCTTGAATTTGGGAGCTGAAGCGGACCCTTTGGTTGGGCTGTAGGTGTAGGATGCTAACGCCCCTGAAGCCGGGTCGGGGTTGGAGGCAGCAGGATGCTGCTGCTGCTCGTGCCTGGGATAAGCATCTCCATGCTCCTGCGTGGTATTTTCCTCCTGTAAACTTGGTCCCAGCATGGAAGAGCGGGGCGACGGCAGCTGGAGCTCCGGGTAAGCGCTCATGGAGCCTCTGGAACTTCGGGAGCTATGGCTGGAGATGCTAGACCTGGGGCTGATCACAGACGGGTTGCAGTTCCCCACCGCCCCTGTCCGACCCTCCTGGCTGCAAAGGCTGGACCTGGGGCTGACCATGGGGAGCCCGGGCCCGCCAGCCCCATCCAGCTCGGGATTCCCCGACGGGCCGTAGCGGGAGTCCGAGTAGCTGGAGCGGGGGCTGATGGTGCAGGAGTACTGGCTGGCGGTGCTGGACCGGGGGCTGATGTGCCGCTGGTCGTAGCCCATGCTGATGCCGCTGGTGCGGTTGCTGCTGGGCTTGCTCCCGCAGTCGTAGCTGTTCAGGCTGGCCCGGGGGCTGGAGTGCTTGCTGGTGTCACTGGCCGTGCTGGCGTAGCTCGACCTGGGGCTCAGCGCGCTGCCTTCGTACTGCACCAGGCTGGCCCGGGGGCTGGTGTATTTCTCCTGCCCGGGCACCACCAGGCTGGCCCGGGGGCTGGAGAACTTCTCGTAGCCCGGGGCGCCGCTGCTGCCCAGGCTGGACCTGGGGCTGGAGAAGCGGCTGAGCTGCTCCTGGCAGGAGGCGGCCAGGCTGGCCCTAGGGCTGGCCGCGTTGTATTTGCCCTCGGGCCCGGCGTGGGCTCGGCTGCCCGGCGGGCCGGGGTAGGAGCCGGCCGGCTTGGGCACGTAGACGCCCTCGTAGGCGCTGCCGGCGCTGTGCCGGGCGCTCTCGGAGGAATAGCGCCTGCCCTTGTCCGCGAAGCCGCCGTAGCAGGGCAGCGCCACCTCGGAGCGGGTGCAGAGCCCTTCCTCGCAGCAGCCCGGCTCCTGGCCGCCCCCCCGGCTGCTGCCGTTCAGCGAGCGGGGCTGGGGGGCGGCCGCAGCCTGGTACACTTTGCCGGAGGCGGCGGGGTGGGCGTCCCCCGGGGGGGCACGGTGCCATTCATTTTCTTGCCTCTCGGCTCCGCCGTCATGTGGGCTGCGATGGCCCGTTGGGCGTCTTCCAGCAGCTCCCTCCGGCTGGCGCTGCAGCCCCGGCCGCTGTACAGCCCATCCTGGCAGGTCTCGTAGAGAGACAGATCTTCCATGAACTTGCTGGCTCGGGCAATGTCCTCCTCGTACCTCTCCATGCTCCGCCGGCCCCGAGCCGGGGGGTGGGGGAGAGAAAGAAAATAGAAGGGGGGGCACGAAAGCCGCCGGCTGGGAAGTTTGCAGCAGGGAAAGGCACTTTTCTGCCCGGCTGCTCCCCCTGCCCCAGAGATCTGCAGCCAGGTGACCCAGCAGCTCCTTGTACCAGGTCACCTGGAAGGCATCCCTGCTCCACAGCCCGTCGCACGACCAGCTCCCTTAGCCGAACGAGGAGAGGCTAGAAGAAAAAGCCCCCCGTGTGTCAATTTCCAGCCTTAAATAAGTTGCTCAGGCCAGTCAATGGCGCGCTGCGCGGAGGAATTTGCACTCAGGGGCTGCCTGCCTTCTCCCCCTTTCCCAGCAGAGTTGCACCTAGACCAAGCGCCGGGGACAAACTCCGAGCCTGGGGGCAAGTGCAACTCCCGGCTCCCAGGGTCTTTGTGGCGCTGGAAGAGATGCACAGAGGCCAGGCGAGGGAGGGACTCCTTTGTGTGGGGCAGGAATGCGAGGAAGGAGACTGGGCGCTGCGTCCCTCTGGAATGTAGTTAATGCTGGAGCCAAACAATGATTTTAACCAAGTCAGCCAGAGAGAAAGAGAGGCTGAGGCTGGAGGAGCTGCCTGGAAGCAGCGAGGTTGCAGTGTAGTTAGCATTCCCTTCATGTGACATTGTTCCTGCTCCTCTTCTCCAGTTTCACAGCCCAGGGGAGGAAGGGGGGAAGCTCAAGCCTGGAGGAGGTGGGAGCCCTGTGCTTCACACCTTGAGGGGAGTTCAAACTTTTCTTCTGAAGCTGGGGTTTGCAGGATATAAATGTAATCACCTCCCCAGATCTAGATAAAATCGAGCTCGCCCAACAGAGCCAGGAAATTCAAAGCTGAGGCTGACATGCTTGTCCTGAATTCACACACTGGATTTGCTCCATCTCTCCCCCCACAACCAAGTGGGTGAGTTTAGGAAGTGGAGTGCCAGCGTTCCCTCTGGATTTACTGGGTTTTGTCTGTTTGTGCCACACACTGAGTTATTATTATTCCAGTTCTTAGGGATATTATTTTGTTTTCTTTTAAAGAAAGTTCTGTGCAAGATTATATAAAATGTAAGTTACTGATCTATGTACTGAAACAGAGAAGAAAAAGTAATGATTCTTTTTGAATAAATATGTTTTCCTTTATTTTTTATTTTAAAAAGTCTCTTCGGAGGCGGATGTATTTGCAAAGCAGAAAATCTTAATTAAATAATTAAGTATGAACTGCTCATTTAAAACAAAAAATCCCCCCAGTGGTTTTGAGGGAGCCATTCTTGTCTACTGGGGAATTCCATTAGGGAGTTTGAGTTAGAGACTTTATATCTATAAACCCTTCTTTTCACTCCTTCACTACTTCCTCAGAGCTCTTCTTTCTGCCTGGAACTTTTCATCCTTGGTTTCAGCTCCAATATGAGTATTTCTGGGGCAGTTTAAGACAAACTCATTCAATCATTTTTGAGTTAGCTAAACATAAAAACTCTATCATTCCCATTTTTTAAATAATACACTCTTCTGCTTGCAATTTGTATATATTTTTGTTAAAATAAATGGATCTGAATTGTTTGCAACTACTGCTTCAGAGACACTGCTTTCAATCAGCAAATCTGCATTTAATAGGGTGTTCACATGGATTGCCTGTTTGTTGATGTGGATGTCATTCTAAACAAAAGAAGCAGTCCTGTAATTTTTATTCATAGCAGGAGGCCCACTGAATTAAAGTATTTTAGGTCTTGTCTACAACCCAGTGTTTTAGGTAGGTCTCCCCTGATTGCCCCAGCACCAGTGCAGTTGCTCATGTGTTAGCAATGGGGGATGGGCCATGTAGTGGCATTTTTGCCACTGTGTGTTAGAGCAGTGCTGGTAGAGCTCTCAATAAGGCCTAAAATCATTTGATTTTGATGGGGCTCCTCAGGTGCTAAGAACTAGAGAATCAGTCCTAAGATTACATGCCAATTCTGCAATTGGATCATTGCAGACTGACAACCTGCAGCTGTGTGGAGCTGCACAGGGGTTTGCCCAGGGGAATCCAATTGCAGGATCAGGGCCTTAGGATGAAAGCAAATATGGTAACTTATTCTCAGATATTTATTGAGACTGTACATTTTTAAAAAAATGATACATATGATGTATATATTGTGGCCCAAAACAATTTCTGAATCAACATGAGTTTAAAAAAATATATTTATTAGGGTTGTATGCCTAGGCAGAAGAAGTTTCTACCCGATTTTATTTTATGTGATGGTCCAGTAAAAAGCATAGCAGTACTTGCCATTTAAATTTGTGCGACTGGTGGATAATAAAGTCTAAAAGCAAGTTAGAAATTGTTACTGGCCTGAAACCTTGGACACAAAGCTGGAGCCTAGAGTACATTTTTGCAACTAAGTTATAAGCCCCTGAAAATAGCTTGTGTTTATCATGGAAGTGCTGACGTAGCCCTAACAATAGCTACGTGAATGTTGCCACTATAATACTAGATGTTTAGTTGCCTGCAATCAGTGGAAAATGTTGCAATGTACAGTGCCAGGAACATTTTATCTTGTTATCATACCTAATTAAACATTAAAAGCGACTGTGTACTTGAAAAAGTCCCTAGCCAGGTAGGGTGATTGGCAATTTGTGTGTGTGTAAGGGAAATAGAAACAAAATATGTGTGTGTGTGTGTGAGAGAGAGAGAGAGAGAGAGAGAGATTGGCAACTTGTGTGGGTGTGTAGGGGAAACAGAAAAACTCGGCTAGGGAACCCTATTCCTGCCCCACCCCCCATTTGATGTCACTGCCAATGTAATGTTTAGTTCCAAGGATAAATATGTGCAAATACTGTAAGTCTTGTCAGTAAAATACACTTTTCTAATACCTTTTTATGTACCCAATTTCTTTATCGTGCTTTTTGTTGAGCTCCTTAGTATGCTGTTGCCATGTGCATGTGCTATTGATTGCTTTCCCCCTTCATTAAGGTGTATTGTATCTTTAGTCTGCAGTTGTCTGCTCCTTGTAAATGCTCCCTACAATGTTTTGTGCATCTGTGATGGCTTACTATCTTTGTTCCAAACATCAAATATATGGTTGCCAACCCTCCAGGATTGGCCTGGAGCCTCCAGGAATTAAAGATTAATATTTCATTAAAAAGTATATCATGTGATGCAGGGGTGAAGGAAGCTCCCTAAAAGTGGGGGTGCCATTGGTGCCAGAACTGTGGCCCTGGCCCCCATGCTGCCCCTTCCCTGAGGCTCCGCCCTCTTGTCACCCCTTCTCCCTGAGCCCCCACCCTCACATCGCCTCTTCCCCCCAAGACCCCGTCCCCTGCTCCCTCCTCTCAGCCCGCTCACCCTTATTGCTGGTAAAAGTGATAGGGTCATGGCTGCCCTGATGTGATGAAACTTCCAGGAATATGTCCAACCAAAATTGGCAACACTATCAGCACTATTGGGCAGGAGTAGTATCTTCCCTGCAACTGTCCTGCAACTCTAACCTGGATGGAAACCCACAAAGGTTCAAAGGTGCTCCAACCCCTGGCCCATTCACACCTTGGGCTTCCTGGGGGGCTCCCAGCAAATATTCTGTGGTGTAATGTGGACAGATATCCACCAAGAACTGGTCTAAGACTACTCATCTTATGCAGACCACAGAACAGCCTTCAAAAGAGAACAAGTTCAA